AAAACTGTAATTTTTTTAAAAATGTTGCAACTGGGAGCCTGGACCTTAGCATCTTTACATTTCCTAAAAATTATTTCTCATATTTGCACACATAAGGTTGAGAAATAATATTTAAAAAATATGGGAAAATTAAAACCCATTTTATCTCTGTTCTCAAGAATCACTGAATTACAACTTATATTTGTTTTGGTTTGCAATAAACTCACACATTCTGCTTTTATCCAAAGTTGAATCAGGTTACAAACATCATGGGGTTAAAGGTAGACATCTGAAGTTCAGTTTTTAAGAACATGTTTTGTCCCAGAAGAACTCGTCCGTCAGTCCTGAACTGAAGGAGGCAGAGAGGAGTAAGAATGTTCATCCCCCTCATGGTCCAGTAGACCTGGTTCTGCTGGAACCAGAACTCCATCATCTGCTCCACCTCCAGCTGCTGTGGTTCTCTGAGTCAAACCAACCTGTTCCCCTCCTGGCCTGTGGGGGCGCTGCACAAAAACTTCTGAAGACGGAAACAAGATGGAGGCGTCAGGTTTTTGCGGTTGGAGTTTTTCTCTTTAGTCTTTGGCTAAAGACCAGAAGCCATTTCTGCTGCTAGCGCTAGGCTAGCACGTTAGCTTTGGTTTCATTTCCCCAGAATGTCCTGTGTTGAAGTCCACTTCCTGCTTTTGCAGCGGTCTCCGGTCCGATTGGTGTTCACATATCAGACCGAACCAGAGTTAATTTTCCCAGACCGGACTGGAGGACCAGAGGTCAGTTAGCGTCCACACTTCAACCGAACTGGACTTCCTTGACAAACGGACTGGAGTTGGGTTAAAGCGGACTGGACAGAACCGGTGTGAACCTTTAGACTCCAGAGACCCGCCTGTGGATTCAGCAATCCGGTCACTTTCTATCTGGTCTCTAAGGTCTCTTCTGGTCCAACCGGATGTCTCTCGGTGTCGGTTCCGGCGTTCATCTCCAAGGATTTGATTTGGCTGCTGTTGGTCGACGGTCCGTGACATGCCGACACGCAGATCTGCGCGAGTCCGCGGCGGCACTCCTTGCGGATGTTGTTGCTGGACAGGACGTAGAGAATGGGGTTGACGGCGCTGTTGATGGTGGACAGGCCGAGGGAGATGGTGTAGGACGTGTACATGGTCTCCTCAAACATGCAGGGCGAGTCCACCAGCTGGGGGAACTGGCTGATGACGGCCCGGGCCAGCAGGATCAGGTGGTACGGCCCGAAGCAGACCAGGAACAGCAGCACCACTGCCACCGCCAGCCGCCGGACCCGCCGCTTCTGGTCGCCGTGGAGGCCCGAGCTGCGCTGGACGTTGGTTAGGACGCGGCGGTTGGTGACCGCCAGCAGCAGCAGCGGCAGCAGGAAGCCGATCACAAAGCGGGCGTAGCTGAAGCTCATCACCTTGCTGCTCTGGCTCGGCTCGAAGCAGCGCTTCAAGCCCTGAACGTTTCCCTCCCTCATGGTGAAGACGGCGCTGTGGCCCACGGCCACCACCAGGACGATGACCACCGTGATGACCACGGCGTGGCGCAGCCGCCGCTGACCGCGGGACTCCAGGCTGTAGGCCACCGCCCAGTACCGGTCGCAGGAGATGCAGCACAGCAGGAAGATGCTGATGTACATGTTGGTGAAGAAGATGTAGCCCGTCAGCTTGCAGACCGTCGAGCTCCACCGCCATTCGTGACCGTTGTTGACGTAGTCCGCCCAGAGCGGCAGCGTGAACAGGTAGGTCAGGTCGCACAACGACAGGCTCCACAGGTAAACACCAAGAACGTTCTTCCTGCGCACCTGCTGCCAGGTGAGGAAGAGAGTCAGCACGTTGGCGGGAAGACCGACGACCAGAACGGCGATGTAGAGAACCAGCAGCGGCAGCCGGTCCTCCCCGTACGGCCTCTCACAGCTGACTGAGCTCTGGTTCTCCGACAACCCGCCTGTGACGTTCAGCATGGTGGCCAATCAAATCCAAGGGTCTCTGCAGACAACTGGCCAATCAAGGACTAGAGTCTGTAGGAAGAAAGCCGATCCAATCAGACCAACCGCAGGGTGACGTCAGCCATCACACTATGAGATCAGCATCTGGAGAGAAAACCAGGAAAGTTACCAACAGTTTTAAATCTTCAGCCCGGCCTGTCTGAACCGAAGCTGAGTAAATTTATCAGTGGAGTTCCCCAAGGCTCAGTCCTCGCTCCTCTCCTCTTCAGTATTCAAAATCTGAATCTGTTTTTCTTCATGTCTGTTGTTTTTAACTTCTTTTAATCAGCACTTTGAGTGTCTGGCTGAAAGGTGCTATAAAATAAAGTTGCCTTGTTTCTGGTTTTTAAGGTTCTTTACTGTTATATTGAGCGAAGAATCAGAGCCTGATGACTCCAGAGTGAACCTGTCGTTTCAGAGCCAACAGTGGATCCTAGAGATGGAGGAAGAGCTTAAACTAAACATCCTTCAGAAATAACCGATCTCAGTGTAAAGTCTTCGCTGTTCCTCTTTCTGTCGCTGCGGCTCTTTATCTCAGCCAGAGAAGTTCCTCTTTCTGCAGCATCACTATCTGCTGAAGTTTCTCTGCTGTCTGAGTCAGTCTGTTCACATGAGCTGCTGCATGTCTGAAACAGGAAACAAGCAGATTTCTGAACCAAGATCTGCTTTCAGAACCAACCCTGGAGCTTCTGGTGTCTCGTTGCTCCTTATGCTTCATGTTAGTCTGTAGATTAAAGGACCAGCATTCAGACAGGTGAGTTTTACTCACCTGTCTGAATGTAAATAAGAGGTCAAATAAAGAAGCAGCTGAACTTTAAGTGAAATTATCTTTATCATTCTTCTGTTTAATTACACTGTTTGACTTTCTGATATTAAATTTGATTAGTTTTTTTTCTGATTTAAGTCAGGTTACCATATTGTGTCATTTGGCCACCGCTGACATCCCCCTTCAGCTACTGTTGAGGGAGGATGTCATTCAGTTGCTGCTAACCTACAAACACCAAACCACAACTCTTTAGTGGTAAATCTGGAGACTGAAATCGTGCCTCACTCTCTGCTGCTCTCCCAATTATTCAACAGTCAGTCAGACACTCTACCAAAGAAAACACAACTTTAGATGTGCTTTATGCCAATATGACAGACTCATTTATCTCCAAAAAAAAAACTCCTCTGGGAAAGTCTTGTTTTTGTCTGGACACAGGAAGTGAAGGATCCCTGCTGGTTGTCGTGAGGCCACAGATCGGATCGCTCTGTGCCAGCCGCAGTCAGACGCTTCGCTAACAACCATCCCTGCATCGGCACTGAGCTACAGGAGCAGTTAAACTGGAAAAAGTCAGAAAACTAGAAAACAACCAAGGCAGGAAATTATTGAGACGTAAACAGAAGCAGCTCAAAGTCGACATTAAGACAGCGAAGCAGAAGAAGAAACTCGTCGTGTTTCTACTACAGGAAATCCTTCCTGCCCACATCTTTCAGCACATCTCTGAGAACCAAATGTGTGAAAGCAGCTGGTCCTTTGCACTAAAACCATCTTCAATTTAACTGATAGAATTTTATGAGTTTTTATATGATTTTTATTACAAAGATAAAAACATTTGAGCTTCAAAATGTCGACCTTTCAGACGTCAGCGGCCGACTCTCATCATTTCTTTGTTTCCACATTTAGAACCAGGTGACAAACTGATGATGGTAACAACAAGCTGCCTCTAAAACCTGTCAGGGTTTTTTCCTGATGATGCTGGAAACTTTGAGGTCAGATCAACGTTTTTCTAACCCAGAGCTCGTGTCAGACAGGATGTACTTTTATTCTGGCAGGAAGAGTCAAAACCAGACCAGATTCCTGTTTGTTTAAATCTGTTAAACAGGTTGACTGTGGGGTTATCTCTGCAACCAAACTGGAATTTATTCAACAGATCAGAAAAGAAACTTTAGTTCACCTGTTTGCTGCTCTGAAGCCTAAAGGTGTAAAAACGTCTTCAGAGCAGCAAACAGGTAGTTTATAATTATTCTGGTTGAAAAGTAATCAAGTGTCAGAAACAGGAACCTGTCCATGGTCAGCTAGCAGGCTAAAGGTCGCGAACAGTGGTGGAACCACTGAGTAAAAAGTTAGCTGTCCTAATTATGAACACGAGTTTTACTGATGCTAACACGCTACGTACCGCCATGGTATTTACTGAAAGCTAATGTGCTATGCTAACATGGTATTTACTGAAAGCTAATGTGCTAAGCTAACATGGAATTTACTGAAAGCTAATGAGCTAAGCTAACATGGAATTTACTGAAAGCTAATGAGCTATGCTAACATGGTATTTAGTGGAAGCTAATGCTAAAGTACCATGGCAGGATGGTATTTAGCTAAAACTAATTTAGCATAAGCTAATGCTAAAGCGCTGCATGAAGGACAGAACTTTGACCTGACAGAAAGTCAGGTTAGCACCAGCAAAACTTAGCAACACGGTGGTGGAGGGGTGATGATGTGGGCTTGTTTCACTCAGTCACACATGAAGGTCAGAAGATGATCACAGAAACTCTGGTTAGGAAGTATATTATAGGGTGTGTTCACTTTTTATAGCCCTTATAAACGTTCAACCGTCTAAATTCTGACTTTATCTCTTCTTTTATTACGACAAACGTTATTGAAATGAATTTAAATAAAGAGCAGCAGTATGGAGCTATAGAGCACGGTGGTGGTGCAGTGATGATGTGGGGTTGTTCTGCATCTTTATGGTCTTCCCATCAGTGAAGCTGTTTCAGGTTTTCTTTCCTGCTTCATATTTAACTAATATTCAGGTAAAACCACCAGATTCTGATAAGTCTATAAATAAAACCCCAAACTAACTGTAAATGAAGACATTTTACCTTCATTTAATGTCCATCATCTTCTTCTTCTCTGGTGTAACTGGAAAGTTTGTCTTTAATAAATCCAGGACGGATCAGTTTTCTGAGAATAAAGGGTCACTCAGCCGCAGTTTCCTCAAAACATAAATAGTGACGATCGCCTCGTTTCTGCAGCCGTTTCCTTCTCCTCTGATGGTTTTAGCCTCACTGATCCTGAAGATGCAATGCAGACTCAGAGCGGTGGTTCTCAAGCTGCGGTGCTGGTGCGTTTGAGGACGTTTTGTTTCTGTGTTTGAAGTGTCACTGAATCGTGGGAGTCGTTTGTTCTGTTGCATCACCTCCAAGTCAGAATTTCTGCTGAGGAATGAGCAACACATTCCTGTAAAGTCCAGCCTGGGGGTTTACCAGCTGCTCTGCTCAATAATCAGGCTAACGTCTGCTAGCATGGCAGTTCAGATAAAAAATAAACTATCAAACACAGAAACTACATGAAACTCCAGTAGCAGTCAGTTTTGCAACAAATCTGGAGAGGCCTCTGACTGAAGATCGTTGCTGTGTGACAGCTTCATGACTGTCATGCTAACAGCTCAGTAGCTAAAGAGTAGAGATGATATCCAGCAGAGAGATGCTGGAGTAGGAGAGACGATGGATGGGAGGTTTGGGCTCAAAGTTCAGGCTCCTCTTTAACCCTTTAACGTTTGTATCAGCACTGCTATAACGAGCTCAGCAACTGTTTGCTAATTGCTGCTGGCTAGTCTGAAGGAGCTGAGTGGGGGAAGAGCTGCGCCTTGAAGGCGGGGCTACGTCCATCTAGCGTTTTACAGCCGTATGGTTTCCATGGAGATAAAAGGATTTCTCAAACATGGAAGAATCAAAGCAACGCTCCAGGTTTGATTTGATGAGAGAAACTTCATAAAAAGTTAATTTATCAAGTTCCAACAGAACCTCCAGAACCCGGCGGAACCAGACTCAGTGGAGGAAAAGCAGAAAAATCTGGACCCAAGTGAGATGATCCACATCGCCGGATCCTGGTGGTTCTGGTGTTTTCTTCTTCTTCTTCTTTGTTAAAACCACATTTCCCCTTAACTTCTGACCAGATGTGGGAAGTAACTAGTTACATTTACTCAGTTACATTTACATAAAGAAACTTTTTGATCAGAAAAAAAAGTACCTTTAGGAGTATTTTTACTACACCGTACTTTTTACTTTCTCTTCAGTAATTTTATTCTGGAGCATCAAGACTTTTCTGGCCATGAGGAAAACAAGCTTAACCAGACAGACCAGAATATGTATTGGAAACTTTTTACTTTTGAGTAGAAATATGAAATCTTGTCCTTTTGGGTTTGCAATCAGCTTTATTTCCTGTAGTTCCAACACTTAGTGATTCTTTCGGTCATTCAGTTTTTTTATTTTGGTTTTTAAATAAATAATGTTGCGTTTTCCTCCATGACTCCAAAACTCCTGTTTAAGTAGTAACTCCATGTTCAGGTTAACATTTCCATACTAAGAGATTAAATATTTGATTGGTTCATTTTATGTAGTTTATCAACATTTGTAAAAATAATCAAAAGGTCCTAAATCCTCCATCAGAGCCGCTGCTGGGATCAAATTCAGATTCTAAGCTTCATAAATTTGGTACAAAATTAGTTTTTTTCAGTAAATAAATGAGGAGGATCAGAAACTGATTTAATAACTTTTCTTTACATAATGAGGTAAATAAACACTGAAACGATCTCAAGCAGCGTTAATATTTCCGATAAGATGCGTTAGAGCGTCATGAGAATCATGACGGTAAAAACATTAATATTTCATGAGCTTCATCTGTTCTCTTTGTTTCCTCAGATTTTCTCATCATTTCTGTTTTATTGACATGAACCAATGAAGCTGATCGATCTGCTGCTGCAGGTAAAAACTCACCTGTGAAGCTGCGCGTGGTCCGTCTCTGCGCTCGCGCTGCTCCTGAATGAAGCGACCGGTGGCGGCTCCCTTCAGAGAAACCCCCTGGGTGACGTCACTGACGTCATCACGCAGTCATCACCCACCGCTCTTTCCTCCAGGTCTTCATGTTTTGAGTCAGCAGCGGGAAAACGCTGCCACTGCGCCACCTGGTGGCGGTCTGACCTGCCGGTTACCATGGTGACCTGAGATGATTTATTCCTCACCTGCTCCGGTTATTTAACGGTTCTTCTGTTTCCTTCCCACAGTCGCCCTGTGCTTCCAGGACGGGGGATTCCAGGTAACTTTGGATTTTATTAGAACTGGAATTTATGTTACGATTTTTTAAACTAGTACAGCTTAAAAAAATTAAAATATTTCATAAAAGTGCAATAATTAAAGCTGCAGTATTTAACTTTTGTAAAAATGCATCAAAAACAACCAATCAGAAGCAGGAGGCGGGGCTTAGCGCTGTCAGTCAATCTGTGAACGCACTGCTAAATCTGCAAATCAACTCACTGCTATAAAGAAGCTCAAGATGCTAAAAAAGCTAAAGAGTTCTCTGTCCAAGCAGATTGACATAAAATTGAGTGGAAGGAAGACGTGCTTTGCATCAGGGAGAACTGGAGTCATGACAGGAAATCTATTCCATTAACTTTATAGAAATGAACAGAATACTCTTCAGAAACTTAAAAAAAATTTAATCTGAATTTTTGAGAATTTCTTTTACTTGTAAAACGGCAAAAAAATGAAAGCTTAAATATTTTCCTCTGTGTGATTAAATATATGACATATTTTTTATCTGTACTACAGATAGTCTGCTTATGGGACTAGATTTCAGAAAATGACCAGTTTGTTTTGTAAAATGTCTTAAAATGAGATTTTCTGTTAATTTAGCTCTTAAAACAGAAACATTAAAACATTTTAGCAACATATTAAATATAAAGTTCATACATATAGAGTATATTCTATTCTATTTCCTCTAATAAAAGTTTCTGGGATGTTCAGGTGTGTTCACCTCGTTGAGGCTGCTGCCCTCTGCTGGAGCTCTGACGCCCCTGCAGCCTTTATTATCAACCTTTATTCATTTTTTTCTCTGCAGTTTTGATTAAAAAATCACTTTATTTCATCAAACGTCATGTTTTTAACAGTTTTCCTTCTATAAGAACAGACATGGTTAATATGACATAAACATGGACTCAGAACCAGAACCGGTTCTGACCCAACTGGACCATCACATCTTCTCTCGCTTTCTGTTTTTACAGTTTTGCTCTTTTTTTTTTGGATTTTTAAAGTTTTCCAGGGAACGGCGACAGAAGTCTTGGCGACGATTCGGCGGGAAGTTTTGGCTCCGCCCAAACAGGAAGCTGGCACTTGAGTTTCACAATAAAAGTCCTCAGTTTTTCCATCGGATTTGCTGTGAAAGAAGAACCAGACCAGATGAGTCATGTGACCTAAACCATAACATTCTTCCTCTTCCTCACCTGGTTGCTTAGCAACTCGTCGATCTTCCGCTCCTCCGCCGAACCGCGCTCCACCTTCTTCCGGTACTCCGCCAGCTGCTGCCGATCCTTCATGTCTCGGTACGTCTGATTGGCCGACAGGCGGAGGAAACGTCAAAGCCCCGCCCCCAGCGTTTTCATTGGTTTAAACAGCTACGGAAAGCAGCCAATCAAAGAACTCACATTGATGACGATGTCGTGGCATTTATGTTTCTGAGCCAATCCGATCCTGAGCTCCGCGTCGCTAACGAGTCCGACGTATTCCTGTAGGACCTGTTAGCAACCGATAGCATTAGCGTGGAATATAGCAAGCCATTTTAACATAAAATCAGTTTAATATGACAATCTGTAATTACATTGTAAATATCTAAGAAAGCATTTTTACTATCCAGAATGGTAATTTAAGATATCTTGAATTAGAATTTTGACTAGTTAAAACTAAAAACGAGATCTTGAAATTAGTTGAAGATATCTGAAATATTTTCTCCAGATACAGTAAATCTTACGTTGTTCCCACCAGGCAGAATGTAAATCTGTCAGGTTTCTGTCTAATCAAATTATAATATAAGACAACTTAATTTATAATATGTAGTCATAAAGCAATTTCATATATTCTGAACATAAAGCAATTTCATATATTCTGAATATAAATGGGAAAAAACTGATTGTATGTTAAAACGGCTTGCCGTAGCTTAGCATCTGAGCTCCTGGCTCCGCCCACTCACCCGCGTGGGGGCGGAGTTTTTCTGCAGGATGTCAACGACGCGCTGGAAGCTGAGCGGAGATTTCTTCTTGGAGAAGCCGAGCCAGTTCCTGGAGTTAAACATGGCGTCTACGTCCGCCCAGTTCTTCAGCTTGGCGCGCGCCGCCAGCGCCGTCGTGAAGTACTGCTTCTCCGAGATCTGAGGGACAGCGTCGGCGACCGCGTCAGAGGTCAGAGGTCAGAGCAAAGAGAGAAAACACGTCTCACCTTGAATGTCTGCCGGACGTTGAGCGGGCTGCTGAAGGTTCCCTGAAGACAGAAAAACAGGAAGTTCGGCTGATCTGGGTCAACTGACCCAAATCCTCCCAGTTTAACCAGTTGGATCCCAGTCTGGGCCTGACCTCCGGCTCGTTGTAGTGGTAGAAGCAGCAGTAGTACAGGGTGGTGATGAGCGGCATGTTGAGGATGGAGGCTTTTCTGGGAAACTTCTGGAAGACTTCCTGCTTTCCTTCCCGCTCCGCCTTCCGGTCCGCCGCCTGCAGAACCACAAGGAGCATCAACAGGTGGACTGGGAGCAGACTGGGAATAGACTGGGAGCAGACTGGGAATAGACTGGGAATAGAGTGGGAGCAGACTGGGAATAGACTGGGAATAGAGTGGGAGCAGACTGGGAATAGACTGGGAATAGAGTGGGAACAGACTGGGAATAGAGTGGGAACAGACTGGGAGCAGATTGGGAACAGACTGGGAATAGAGTGGGAGCAGACTGGGAATAGACTGGGAGCAGACTGGGAATAGACTGGGAGCAGACTGGGAATAGAGTGGGAGCAGACTGGGAATAGACTGGGAACAGACTGGGAGCAGATTGGGAACAGACTGGGAATAGAGTGGGAGCAGACTGGGAATAGACTGGGAGCAGACTGGGAATAGACTGGGAGTAGACTGGGAATAGACTGGGAATAGAGTGGGAGCAGGCTGGGAAAAAAAAAAGGAAAAAAAAGGGAGAGAAAGGGAGAGGGGGAGGG